GTCCAAAACCATTCCAAATTTAATTCCGCTGCTTGATTCTTCTATTCTCCAATTTAGATTAATTTTAAGTTTTTATAGACAGTCTCTTTTAAAACAGTAAAAGTTCCTCACCAGCTGGAAACACTTTCTCTTTCCGTATCCTTCCGTTTTGGAGCCGTCCCCACTTTGTCAGCCTTGGCTGGATTTTTGCCACTGGCTTGAAGAACTTCTCTTGCTTCTTTCAGGGATTTTGCGATATTCCTGAGGTCAGCAAGACATATTCTTCCTGTTCACCATCTCTTCGGGATGGTTTAGGTCCGTTTGGACCACCCAGTGGCAAAAGTATTGGCTGCGGTCTCAGAGCATTGAGACCGCATGTCCATCTTGTCGTGACATTGGCTCCTCCCACCATGCAGTTTTCTTACCGAACAGTTTGTTGTTTTTTCTACCAGGATATTCTCCCAGTGTGTATTTTCAACTGGTGCAGAGTATGGCGGTGCCGGCAATTCTTGGAGTCCCTAGGATGACCCATGTTACACCACAGTGCAAGCTTCACTGGCTGCTGGTGTGCTACAATTCAAGGTGTTGGATATTACTTTTAAAGGCCTGCATGGCATGAATCCATGCTATTTGAAAAACTATCTTACCTCACTGGAACTGGCCTGCCCTATTCACGCCAGCATAGGAGGTATTCTATAATCCCCTTCGGTTAAGGAATTCTGGCTGGTGGAGTCCAGGAAAAGGGCCTTCTCTGCTGTGGCTCCTATCCTTTGGAACGTCCTAACCCCTAAGTTGAGATTGGCTCCCACCTATCTGACCTTCTGCAAGAGCCTGAAGTCCTGGCTCTGCCAGATGACTTGGGGCCCAAACGGAGGGGTATTGGTTGTTGAATTAAAAGGCAAACCCTTCCCCCCCAGCATCCTGTTCCCTCCCTCCCCATCTTTTAATTACAATTCTATCTTGATTGGGATTTCTATTTTAATTGTTTTAGAGATATTTGTCAGGATTTTAATGGTTTAATTATGAGCTGTGGTGGTGCAGTGGTTAGATTGCAGCTCTGCAGGCTACTTCTGCTGATCACTGGCAGCCAGCAATTTGGCAGTTCGAATCTCATCAGGCTCAAGACTGACTCAGCCTTCCATCCTTCTGAGGTCAGTAAAATGAGGACCCAGATTGTTGGGGGCAATATGTAAACCGCTTAGAGAGGGCTGTAAAGCACTGTGAAGCAGTATAAGTTTAAGTGCTATTGCTGGAAGTTCCCAGAGTCATTTCATTAAGAGATGGGTAGCAAATAAATTCACTAAATAAATAAATAATAATATAATATTTAAAAAAAATTGCAGTCTTCCCAATTTTTTCCTAGTTGATTTCCTAGTTGTCTTCCCTTCCAGTGCAAACCACATCTGACCATGCTTACCTTCTGAACCCAGCCAAGGTTGACCAGAATTGCCACCTGCCCCTACCCTCAATGGTACTGCCACCATCATGCTATTTGTTATTATCAGCCAAATATTACAAAAGTTGTAGTTAAATACATCCCAGTACATCTGGTTGAGGAAAGCTAACGTCTTCTTCCCTCTTCCTGATTTCAATAATGAAGGAGCTCTGGCCAGATGTGCTTATAGTTAATCTAATCCTTTCAAGCAGTTAGGACTTTGTGACTATGTTCAGTGTTTCCATAAGTGTAATTGCTTGCTGGATTATTGAAATTATAATGTCACATCTGCAGAGCATCAGGATAGGAAAGCTATTTTACAAACAAACTCTTCAAACATGGAAACAATCCTGCATAGATACTGCTTTGGTGAACCAAAGTCTATACAATAATACTACACACTGAGTGGCATGTATTTGAACCCACATGCATCTGTTTTTGCTCAATAGCCAACATTTTAAAGTGCCAGATATTTGAAATGTAACTAGCACTTGCACATTATTAATGTACTGGTTTAATGAAATGCTTCTTTATACACTTTTCTCAGTGGAAAACGTTCTCTCCCCCATTGTGCTGACTTAACTATATCCAGAAATCTCTTCAAATGTCTCCTTTGTTTTCTATGTTGTAGCTCACCTTGGAAAGGCCAGAAAGGCAGAGCAGGAGTAGCTACTGAACTACTAAGCGGTGTCCCAGCTCTGTGTGTGTCCCCCCCCCCACTCTTTTTTTGTCTCTATTTGTTCATTCAGGGTTACTCTTATCTGCTAGGTTTAGAAGCTGGCAAATATTCAAAAAACCAAAAACTGAGTAGCTTCAGTTGGAATTTATGGCACATACTAACTGCTTTTTAAGAGGAATGTGACTGGGTTGCAAAGAAGCAATCCAGTGTTTTAACAGCCTGTAATCTTAGCCTATACACAGAAAGGGAAGAAAGTAATGGTCCCCTGTGCTGATGGAAACACGAAATATCAGAACATAATGAAAGGATTGCATACATATAGGTGATAGGAGTAATTGGGACATCTTGCTGGATTTCATCCCCATGCATATTTGGGGATGGGGGCTCTGTGACCCAGTGTCATCCCTAGGAGGTAGAACAGAACAGGAACTGACTCCCAGAAAAGATAGAACTATACTTTATTGAGATCATCTATACCAGTGGTCTCCAACCTTGGCAACTTTAAGACTTGTGGACTTCAACTCCCAGAGCTCCTCAGCCAGCAAAGCTCTGAGAGTTGAAGTCCACAGGTCTTAAAGTTGCCAAGGTTGGAGAGCACTGATCTATACTAATAGAAGTATAGATGCCTGAGTTTTCCCTACCCTCTCTCTTGTCTATGGAGATTCTCATTCATCCAGGTCTTGGTTGCTCCAAATGTGCTTTTTCAAGAGGCAACTGAACATTCTGGTTTTTCTTTGAAGATGCTTCGCTTCTCATCCAGGGTGAAGAAGCTTCTTGGATGAGAAGTGAAATGTCTTCAAAGAAAAAACAGGAAGTCCAGCTGCCTCTTGAAAAATCACCTTTGGGATTATCCTTTCTCTTATATTCCAGGAAGTCAAAGGGATGCTAATCTAAATATTTTTCTAATACTCTCCCAGCTCTTGGGCATAACACCTGCTTCTGTACCTGTTGTTGTTCTAAAGGTGTTTGGATGCCTTCTCCAAGTAATGTCCATGGTTCCCTACACCCAATCAAATAACACATTTTTGCAGGACATGTCACAAAGAGGGAGATGTAGGTAGCATCCCTTGTGTCCCTTGTCAGTAATGATGTCACAGCTCCTCCTTTCGTCTGATGAGTATAAGGGAAACAACAAGGCTAAATATATGAACCTCTACAATGGTAGGATAGATAACCAATCTATTACATGGATCAAAGCAAAGCTGTTCTAGTTGGATCCTGCTTAACAGTATCAGACTTGCATTTTACTGAAAAGTACCCAAAACTATCCATTTTATTTCTTAGAAGGGAGATTAAAATTTGCCCATGCTGGTAGGAAAAGCTATGATTTATTTTGTGTCCTTCTCTAAACAATCCATGAGAATTGTGACTTTTCTCCATCTCATTTCAGTTACCCTTCCATCACCCTCCTTCCACTGGGGCCTAGCAGATCTCACTAATATCAACCTGAAAATGCTGATAGGAGATGGGGGTGGAGAAGAAAGAAAGAAAAGAACAGAGGAATGTACTTGTAGGTGGAATCTGCTCCAAAGCTGTAACAGGCCAAGCAGAATATTATTTTCGGTTTCTCGACACAATCTCTTTTCACAAATACAACTTTCAGAAACTCAAAAGCATTGTTTTCTTTTGGATTTGCTGCCCTATTGCCAGCAGCCACCTCAGTCTGTTTTTGCTAAAAAACTTTGGCTTCTGCCAAAAGCCAAGCTTTATGTGCCTCCTTATCATCCATCTTTGGTTTTGCTCCTCCTTTTCTTCTTTTTCCTGCCAACCAGCCTATGTTGCTACTGCAGGGACTCTCCCAAATTCTCCTCCCCGGGAGCAACATAATCAAGAAAAGTTCTTCCCATTCTTTTGGATTTATCAGGAACCCAAAATCTAGTTATTCTTTTGTTTAAGGAAAGTTTATGTACAACTATAGATAAACAATGGCTGCATTGGCATCTATCTGTCTGTCTGTCTCTCTCTCTCTCCATCCATCTTTCAATTTAATTAATTTATTTGATTTAGGTGCTGCCTGACTCCAGAATTACCCTTCCTTCCTTCCTTCTCATAAGATTGTTTACTTCACCACTGAATCTAATGCTATTTACTTCCAGAGACTCTAAATAGCACTTATTGTTTTACATTTCTTTTATTGCTTTTGCTAGTGTCCAAACTGATCTTGTCCAATTCAAATCCCCCTCCCACCAGATGTACCAAACAATGATCTTCATCATGCCTACTTAACCCAGCGACAGATGAAGGGGAAAAAACATAACACATATGGAGGGTGAATTGGGCAAAGTGATCTTAATTTCTCCAAGTTAAAAAGCATTATTGAACAACAAGTTTGTTTTGTTCCTGTCTTGCCTTGATATAAGAACCCTAAAACAATTAGGAGTAAAATTAGAAAATATGATCAGCGTTTTTTGTTTTAGGAAATTCCTGTCTGTTATCCAGACCATCATAGTTACACAAAACATGAGCAGCCTGTTAGCACCAGAATGCATTTCAGTGTACAAGTTCAAAGGCTCAACCAGAAACACTACTTTGAAAAAAGAGTTCCAGCAAACAAATGAACAAAAATGGAACGAAAAGGTCCAGATGGCCCTGGACTATCATATCTGCAATCCAAGCCACCCCCGAAGGCCGGAATATAAAAAGTGGAACGAGCTAACTCTGGATACTCTGAAAAAGGAACTAATCCTGCTGTATTCCAATTTTGAGTTGAAATCCAGAATATTTGCTGAAAGGATTGCTTTCTTGCTAATTTTCCCTAGCAAGTCAGCAATTAAAACACAAGCTATTTAGTCAGACACTAAATTAAAAAGCTATCTAGAAGTGGAACTACCAACATCTGGAAGATCTCTAGTTGCTTCCAGGCCTAAGAAATTAGACTCATAAGCCACAGCAGAAACATGAGAGGTTTCTCTGAGTGTATATATGAACATTCATATGTGTGTGTGTGTGTGTGTGTGTGTATGTGTGTGTGTGTGTATGGATCACATGAAATGCTTCCCCACCCCCAGACAGGCTCTTGTTGGAGTCTGGCATCTTAAAGTACTACTGTACTTAGTTCTATTCACATGATCACAGTTAAAAAGAAATCCTGTTTCATGCCTGAAAAAGTTAAGGAGTCCTATTCCTTCAAGCGTATGATATAAAATCCCACCAATTTTTTACACTTACATCCCCCTCCCCAATTTCTACCTCAGTATTTGCTCTTTTTTTTTTCTTGGCTGCTCCACATGATACATGTCTCTTGGACTCAAACCATTTCTCCATCTTACTACCTTTTCTTTGCTCCTCATTCTCCTACCCTTCCTCTCCTTCTCTTTCTGCATTCCGTTTCTTACAATTCCTCAGGGCTCCAAACACCCCACCCAGATGGAGTGAATTAGGTCTCCTATAATTCCCAAGTCAAAATGGTGAAGGCATAAAGGTAGGTAGGTAGGTAGGCGTATATGTGACTGTTTGCCTCTTCCCCTTAATTTCCTTGTCCCATCTCCATCACCATCATTACTTTCATCTCTTTCAATGTCTTCTTCAACCTTTCCAGCTCTACCCCATAATTTATTTTCCCTCTTCTCCCTTTTCTACACTCCGACGTACTAAAATTCACTTGCCGAGTGTGCAAAAACTTTAAATTCTAATATTTAGGATTTACCTGTCCTGGAGGGGGTGGAAACCGCAGAGATTGCCGCCTTTCTGAGTTTTCTTTTTTTTTTCCCGCACCGAAGAAAACTTGCCGGAGAGAAAACAGAAGTTCTGAAAACTCTTTTACCAACGCAGCCAGCGGAGGGGCTCTTAATGCCAGTGACGTTCAAAGTCCCTCAACCGTAGCCTCCCCTCTTCTCGTCGCCGTCCCTTCACCGCGGACATAAAGAAGCAGAGTCAAGCGACGGACACGGGAGAAGGATTTGGAAAGAGGGTGGGTGGAGTTTCAGCTCCGATTGACCAATCCCGAGCCGACAGAGAATGAAGTTTAGCGAAGACTGAATGGCTTTCAAAAAATCCAGCCGAGGGAAATTCAGAAACTCGTGATCTTTCATCTTTTCCCCTTCCCCACCCCCTCTCTTTCCGAATGAGAGCGTCCTTCTTTGAAGAGGCTGAGGTTTGGAATATTTTCCTTCCAGGAACAGGATGGAAGGGTGGCATTTTCAGCTTCTCCCCCCGCTCGGTTTATCAGGAAAAAAAAAAGTTGGGTTTATTAGAAGTTGGTTGACAGCTTCCCTCCACACCGTCTCTCCCCCGCCCCCCACAATATAACTAACACAGCGAGTAAGTGAGTACAAGATTTAAACAGTAACAGTTGGAAGGGACCTTGGAGGTCATCTAGTCCAACCCCCTCCTCACGCAGGAGACCTGTACTAGGGATTGGAACCGCCGAACTGCCGACCTTTCTGATCGACCTGTACGTTGCAGCTTCATCTCCCCTCTTCTTGCAGTGCCAAATATGGATCAGGAAGGGACGTCTTTATTCCCTTCCTGTATTCCCCGCGTACATTTTGTTTACCCTGAAACAGTAGAGTCCCGTTGTACTCAGTGCGATTCTAAACTCACAATATAGTACGGGACAGCTGTCGGTGGGTTTTCAGATGCTGCTGAACTACAGCTCCCAGGAGTCCCATCCAATATGGCCAAGGAGTAGGGAGTGTAGGTATTGTAGTTTAGCAATATCTCAAGTTACAATGCTCCATCCTGATTTAAGGAGCTGTATTTAACATAGCACGTAAGCAGAGTCTCCGGACTGAGTTAGACTAGAAGATCTCCAAGGTCTCTTCCAATTCTGTTATTTTGCTAGAAGTGTGTTTGTATGTGTGCATGCACCTCTCTGGGCCTACAGTTTCAGAACTGCCACTATTTAAATGGATGAATGTAAGATTGATATTTCATACTGCCCAACTTATTTCACAGAGCTACCAGTTAGTGAGGCTGTGATAGTTATTGCAGGAAGCTAAAATGGATAAATAAGAAACTTTGCTAACACATGGCTAGGAAATTTTTATAAAGATATACGATGAGATTGTATATAGTATATATCACTGAAAGGCAAAGATTTCATTGTGTCAAACATGACTTCTGGTGATTACATGGCTGTACCAGTGAAGTTTTTGTGCGGTCAGGATTGAAAAGTTAGCTATAAATTTCTTCCAGATTATTTTTCAATTTCTTAGTATAGCCTATAGCCTTGCAGTTGTTTGATAATCTCTTATGCAAACATTAACCTGATCCAACCCAACTTGTATTCCGAGATCAACAGAAGTGAGCAATGTGTTGCAATTGCCTTATTTATTTATTTTTTGCTTTTCTGGATACACTTGTTTCCAATGTCACCGATATATAGCATTAAAATATTTCTTTAAAATATCTACAAACACACATTCACTGTTCCATGGAGTTGCTGCAGAAGTCCACTTTTGGGGTGTTCTTTGATTTTCTCCCTCCCTCCCTCCTCGAATCCTTAAGATGATTATGTTTAAAACATAATATTTTCATGAGCTGTTCTGGTTGAACTCTTCCTTCCTTTGTTACTCAATGGGTGGTTGATCAATTCAAATAAATGACTGTGCCTATTACCCAAACAGTAGCATTGAGGAAGGATGGTGGCTCAGTATATTGCACGGTAAGACCAAGATGAACCAAGAAATGATTGATTAAAAATGGAGCTATAGTGAGTTGGGCATTCTGAAAATGTAGACTGGAGTTACACCCCCTGCAAGGGAATTTCCATTCATCCTTAAAGCAGCAACTTTACAGCCTGAAGCTTATTGCTAAACAAGCCACTACTGCCTTTCACTTGAGTGGTTTTCTACAGCTTTATATCTGTAGTCATGCTACATACTTAAGCAAGTCACTGCTTTTCATCTTGTATGTTGTATAAGACTAGCATATTTGGTTAGTTGATGGTTTTATATACTGTATTTGCAAGCTCAGAAAACATGTTAATTCAGTAGTTGACTTCATAGGACATGAATGCTGTCTCTGTTTCAGCTGTGCCCATTTCTGAAGAAACTGGCCTGCCTAATCGCTTCCAGGACAGGTTAATACAAAGTGTTCTAGATGGCAGTGTTTTTAATGATAGCTCCAAAACTGCTATTCAGAAGGCAGTTATTAGAGTTCTGGCTGGAGCCTGGGACAGATTTATATATGATTCTAATTTATATATGCTTTGTTTCATTCTGATTTTATGAATAAGACATAGTTGAGTAGTTAATGCAATCATATTGGCTAGGTTCATACAACATGATGAGCCTAAATAAACCATAGGCACTAAAAAAAAAGATATCTGGTAACAGCTAGGTTTACACATGGTGAGATTTCGTACATGTATACATACATACATATCAGTGGTGAAATTCATTTTTTTTACTATCAGTTCTGTGGGCGTGGCTTGGTGGGTGTGGCAGGAGAAAGATATTGCAAAATCTCCATTCCCACCCTACTCTGGGACCAGCCAGAGGTGGCATTTGCCAGTTCTCCGAACTACTCAAAATTTCCAGTATTGGTTCTCCAGAACCTGTCAGAATCTGCTGGATTTCACCCAGTGGTGGGTTTCAATTTTTTTTAGAACTTCTTCTGTGGGTGTGGTCTGCTTTGTGGGAGTGGCTTGCTGGCCATGTGACTGGGTGGGAGTGACTTGCCGGCCATGTGCCCGGGTGGGAATGGCCAACTTGTAAAATGCGGTGAAACTCACTTAACAACGCTCTTGCTTAGCCACCAAAATGTTGGTTCAGAACTCTGGCATTTGAAGCATGCAAGTTTTAAAGCTGTCAGGTTACAAGACCCTTGCACCCCTAACCCTTTAGAAAAAAACTCCCAGGGGTGTTCAAACTTGACAGCTTTAAGACTTGTGGACTTCAACTCCCAGAATTCCTCCTTTTGCTCTTCATCTTGATGATGTGGGGACAGACGGAGGGAGGGAGCTGGAACCAGTCCTAAACGGCACAATAATTTGTGGAATCTCTTCTATAGAAGAGGTTAGAACTGGCAGGAACCCACCCATGATTTCACCCCTACATACATACATAATATATAAATATTATTGGTGTGCTGGATGTTTAGCATATTATGTGAACCAGCCACTTGTGACTGTTTCAGTAAATTATGATTAAACATACCATGGCTTAATAAGATAATATGAATTACCTTGCAGCAAACCCTTACAGGACATATTTGATTAATATGTTTTCAGGTTTCAGTACAATCCAATCACAAACCCCAGTTACCTTGTACACTTTTATCAAAACAGCGGATGCAAATATATTACTGTGGTATGCTCATATTATTCACAATGCCCAGGGCTGTGTTTCTCAATCTTGGCAGCATGTTAGCTGGGGAATTCTGGGACTTGAAATCCACGAATCTTAAAGTTGCCAAGGTTGAGAAATAGACTGAGCTAGGGCTTGGTGAATGTTTGGAGTTTATTAATGTATTTCAAGGTTTTTTAAAAAAACACCTGAAAATATGACAAGGAAATCAAAATACACCGTCCAAATTAAATACATTTAAGACATAACTATTACTTCATCACATGTATACTTATTGCAATTTAATTTTGTGATGTCATCCACTCTTCAACAAAATAACTTTCACTGGAACTCAGGGGTGTCAAACTCGATTTCATTGAGGGCCGCATCAGGGTTGTGTTTGACCACTCATTGAAGCTCCGTTTTCAGCCATGATGGCAGAGGTGGGTTCCTACCAGTTCGCACCAGTTCGGTAGAACCGGTTCGTCAAATCTACCGAACCGGTTAGAAGACGTTCCACCAGTGGACCCAGAAAGCAGGCCACACCTACAGAAGAGCTTCCAAAATTTTTTGAAACCCACCACTGCATGATGGGCTCCTGCAGCCCTATGCCAGTGAAAATGGAGCCTAGGAGGGCCGCATGCAGCCCTT